CCTCCCAGGTGCTGGGATTGCAAGCAGCTGCCATGCCTGCCAGCCTTTGTGCCGGGTCTAGGGATCTGAGTTCCAGTCTAGTCTCCATGTTTGTGCAGCCATTTCCCAGCCTGTCAGACATTTCTGATAGCAATCCTATTTATATGTTTGTTGATCATGTGAACATTTGAAGTTATATTAGCTTACATAGAATTATGAATTCTTGCTTGTGAAACACCTATGATGATGATAACTACTACTGAAAATATTCTGAAGTCAAGGGAGATTTTGATTGCCTGAGATCTGAGATACATCCAGGAAAAAAAAATCCATCCTAGTTTCAAGTAAGAACCATTTGCTACAGCAGGGGTTCCAGGATGGGGTGGGATTGGGGGAAGAGAAAATGAAAAAAAAAAAAAGGAAAAAATCAGAACCAGATGTTCCTGGGGAGGGGAAGTACAGCTGGGGCCAGTGCCTACCACCAAGAGGTTGAGCCCCATGATTGCACCTGGAGGGCCATGAGAACCCCTGCCTTTCACTTGGAGTTGAGTGGCTTTGCCCACCTAAAACCCTCCTTTCTCTTGTGAGCAGCCTGTGAGCAGTCACCCCCCACCCCAGACACCTTCCCCTCTCCTGTCATACTGATCCAGGGAGAAGGAAGAAGTAACTGTGAAGTCTGGAGAGTTACTACAAACTGCAAGTATGGCCCCATCTGGTAGATAATGGCAGGTAATACCTCACAAGTGGACTTTTAAAAATAAAATAGAAACAAAGTAGAGACTAAGGATGTAACTCATTCAATAGAGTTCTTTATCTTTTCTTTTCCTTTTTTTTTTCCCCTAGACAGGGTTTCTCTGGGTAGTCCTGGCTGTCCTGGAACTCACTCTGTAGACCAGGCCAGCTTGGAACTCACAGAGATCTGCCTGTCTCTGCCTCCCCAGAGTTGGGATTAAAGGTGTGTGTCACCACTGCCCAGGCTTGGTAGAGTTTTGCTTAGCAGGCACAAGGCACTGGGCTCCATCCCCAGCAGCACATAGCCCAGAGCACCATCCCAGTGCTCTGGAAGGGAGGCAGGAAGATCAGGAGCTTATCTTACCCCAGCAGCATGGTGAGTTCAGGGCTAGCTTGGACTACATGAAACTTAGTCTCAAAGCAGTGCATCAGAGCAGATCATACAGAGGAAGGGTGGGTTTTAGCTAGTGGGACTTGGTTTCAGTGTCTCTGTGTAGGTTGTGCTGAAATACATTGACCCAGAGACTGGAGACCCTGCGATGACACTCATTTCTGCCTAGAGCAATGGATGTCAAAAGTGATCCAGGGAGCCTGTGTGTGCAGAGGCCAGAGGTGGTCCTCTTTACCCATTACCCACCTTATCTTCATTTCATATGTGTGCATTGGCGTATATACCCACAGAGGCCAGACGATGACCCTGGGCATCTTGTACATCCCTGCTGTTGTCCCTTGAGATGAGGTTTCTTTCTGAACTAAAACCTTATTAGGCTGGCTGGACAGAGAACTCCTGGGATCTGCCTGTTTCTGCTGCTCAACCCTGGATTTTATTTATTTAGCTTGCCTTACCCAGCATTTTCAGCCTTTTCACATGGGTGCTGGGGATTTGAACCCGTGTCCTCATGCTTGCACAGCAAATGCTCTTATCCACTGAGTCATCTCTGTAGCCCTTCCTCCCTATGTTTTGAGACATGGTCTCTCAACTGATCCTGGAACTCATCAGTTCAGCTAGGCTGGCTAGCCAGTGAGCACCATGGATCTACTTATTTCTACCCCAATTCAGAGCTGGGGTGACAGATACATGCTACCATGCCTGGCTTTTAAGTGGGTGCTGGGGATCCAAACTCAGGAGCTCATGTTTGCTTAGCTGACACTTGAGTCAGTTTCCCCTTGCCCCTTCATGGAAAATCTTCCTCAGTATTTTTGAGGGCTGGTCCCAGAGGGGTCTAGGGAGACCCCTGGTTTCTGGTTGTCTGTGATGACCCCTCTTGTCATGCTATGTCTGTCAGGCCTTAGCGCCCACACTTCACCATGCTTCCTCTGCTCTTGAGCCACATGGTGCTGCTGACCTTGTCTACTGGAGAGGTACTTGAGGATCATGTCACCAGTTCTTCAGAAAGAGTACAGATAATGCTGTCTAGAATAGTCCAGAGGCCTGGCTGAGTGGTATAAGCCAGCTGATGTTTCAGTGTCATTCTTGATACTAGAATAAACTGGGACCCTCTACCTGCATCTACCATCCCCACCCAGCCTTCAGTGGGCTCATCCATGTTCATTTGTACCTGGCTTTTCCACACATCTCCACAGCATGCCTTCCATACTTTCTCCAAAGTTTGGCAAGTTCCTTCCAGACTTTCAACTTTTAAGTTTTGAAAGCCCTCTACTTCCAAACACATGTCTTTGCTCATTCTTTGCCTTTAGCCAAGGGTTAAGTCTGTCCCATTCTAACTCACAGAGCTGTATACTGTTATCTAGTTTCTGCTCCTTATGGTCACACCCCTCCCCCCCAAGGCCATGACCCTATGGAATCTCCCTGACAGGGAAGTTGCTGCTCTGCCTTTTGTGCTCACTGCCACACAGATCTGCAAGAGATTCCATCCTGAGCATGAAGCCTCCTCCCACAGACTCCCAGGTGTCCCCTCCACCTCTCTCATCAGACAAGCCTTTAATGGGCCCTCCAAGCTCTCATTGGGCTGGTCCCAGGGTAACTCTCTGGTTCAATCTCCTACCTTCTACCAGCAAGACTCTTTCAACTCTTCCGTATTAGAACCTTGCCTAAGAATGCATGCTGCTGGTCTCTACCTTCAAGGATAAGATTTTCTCTTCTCTTTAGACCCTATCCTGTTATGGAGACAAAGTCCCTGTCAAAGGCTGGGGTCCTAGAAGGGCACATCTATGAGACTAGCACTTGGGAAGCAGAGGCAAGAAAACTCTGATTTTGAGACCAGTGTGGGCTACAAATTGAAATCCTCTCTTTAAAAAGTAAAAGTTTGCCAGGTGGTGGTGGTGCACGCCTTTAATCCCAGCACTTGGGAGGCAGAGGCAGGTGGATCTCTGTGAGTTCGAGACCAGCCTGGTCTACAAGAGCTAGTTCCAGGACAGCTTCCAAAACCACAGAGAAAAGCCAAAAAAAAAAAAAAAGATAAAAAAAGCAAACAAGAAAAAGAAGGAGGAGGAGGAGGAGGAGGAGGAGGAGGAGGAGAGGAAGGAGGAGGAGGAGGAGGAGGAGGAGGAGGAGGAGAGGAAGGAGGAGAAGGAGAAGGAGAAGGAGAAGAAGGAGAAGAAGAAGAAGAAGAGCAAAGCCTGGCATTTGCTACCCCCTTCAGACACAAGCTTCTCTCTATTCCTGACCTGGGTGATCCTTGTCATTCATGTGGCTACTATGGCTGAGCATCCATCCCTTCAGGTTTTGTTTTTTGGTGCCCTTCTGGGACCTGGCACTGTGTCTGTCCCCAGGAGGTGTTGGGTAGATGTTACCGACTGAGCCCTTTATCCTGTCTAAGCAGAGAAACCCAGAGATGGTGTGGGAGAGGTGGTAGAAGGAAGGAGGCAAGCGGGGCGGGTAGATCGGTAGGTGGGTCATTACTGTCACCTAACAGGCTGGCTGGGGTGGTGAGCCTTGCTATGCTGGCTTAGCATCACTTGGGACTGGTCCTGCAAAGCCTCCACGTGCTCAGGATCCTTCAGGCCTCGAGTCTCTGAGGAGAAGCAGTACCGATGAGCGCCCTTCCAGAAGCTTGCCTGACCCCACAACCCCTAAGAGTAAGTACCAGGCCACACCTCTTTTCTTTGCCCCTCCCCCCCCAGAAAGAAGGCTATCCATCTACACCCAGGTGGGTTTATGAGGAGCCCAGCAGAAGGTCACTAGAAACCCTCCCAATCATATCTCTGGAAGGCTTGGGCCAAGGCTCAATACCGGGTTTGAAGAGGACCAGGGCCTTCATGCAGGCAAATTCTGTGGGGTCCACTGCCAGTGCACGGAATCGGGAGATGGTCTCCTGCAGGAAGCGCATCTCTGCGCTGGCCAAGACCAGCCTGCTCTGAGAGCCGCCAGAGGCTTCTGGTGGTGCCAGCAGTGGGCAGCTGTCCAGGGGCAGGGACCACTGTATGGCTCCAAGGAGGAAAAGCTCATTCCATGCCTCTTCCAGCAAGATCACCTGTGAGCAGAGGGGGTTCGAGTGTCAGCACAGGTACCACCTTCTCCAGGGACAGAAGGGCTGCTCCCAGGTGCCGAGAGCCTCCTGACCTCCACCTGCCCAGGCTCTGGCTCAGCTACCTAGGTTTCCAGTTGCCTTGTGGATTCTATCCAGAGCTGTGGCTGGGCCATCCAGGAGAAGCCTAGAGCCCAGGAGTGCTGGACAGCCTCCAGGTGATTCCAAGAGTGTCACCTTGAATGAGTTCAAGAAACTGGTTGACTCTTCCAAGGTGTTCCCTCCAGATACACAACCTTGCTGAGGGCTCAGCACATCTGACAGCCAGGCTCTCCTGGATCACTGTGAGATCTTTGCTTGCTCAGAGAACTTTTCCACATGTGGAAATGCTGGGGTGACACTCAGGTCTGAAGTTATGGGGAGCCTGTGTTCTAAAGGTACCCAGAGTGAGCCACTTGGTTGTTCAGGGCATTCAGATTACTGTCTCGAGCAGAATCGCTACAGGCCAGACAGTGCGCAGAAGGAAAGACAACGGACCCAGAAAGCCATGGTCCTATTTGCATCCTAGGCTCTATGCATCTCTGGTGTGCATCCCTCCCCCAGAAACTTACATATGCCACTGCCACTGCCCCAGCTCCGAGACACAAGTACCCCATGGTATACACAAGTACACCAGGGGGTATATGTTCCCCAAAGCTGGCTGACCTATGACTGCTGACTGCTTGGCCAGCTCCAGCAGGCAGGCTATGTGGTGTACCTGGTCCCGGAAGGGCAGGCTGGAAAACACAGGCAGGTTTTTGGCCCATTTGACGGCCATGAAGAGTAGGCGAGCCGAAGTCTCATGGATGCCATCCAGGTTGCAGGGGGAGGCAGGGAACTCCGGGTCATTGCTGGTGACATCGATATTCTCTTCAGCTGTTGAGGGAGGAGGTTGTGGCTTTAGTGTCTGCTCTGTGCAAGCTGGGTGAGAGGATCCATGCCTGCTACCCTTCCACTTACCATCCTCTGGCTCCAACTTAGCACAAGTTTCGGCGGTAATGAGACTGGCCATAAAGTGGTGGCCCATGGCTCTGGCTGCAGATGAAGATGTGGGGCCTCGGGGACTGGGCCCTGCCAAGGCAGGGGAGGCCACCAAGGGCTCAGGTCGAGGATCACTGCCTGCTTCCATGCTGTCCAGGTGGACCTGGGCCATGCTTCGGGGTTGGCGCTCATTCTGCACAGCTTGGAAGGCAGGGAGACTCAGGACACACCTCTTTTGTCTTTTGGGGGAGAGTACCTCCCAGTTCCCAAATAAATCACATGGAGGCTTATTCTTAATTAAAAACGCCTGGCCTTAGCTTGGATTGTTTCTTGCCAGCTTTTCTGAACTTAAATTATCCCATCTATCTTTTACCTCTGGGATTTTGTTTGTTTTGTTCTTTGAGACGGGGTTTCTCTGTAGCTTTGGAGCCTATCCTGGAACTCATGCTGTAGACCAGGCTGGCATTGAACATACAGAGTTCTACCTGCCTCTGTCTCCTGAGTGCTGGGATTAAAGGCATGTGCCATCACTGCCCGGGCTGCCTCATCTTTCTCTACTTCAGTATACCTTACTTTCAACTCTTACTCTGTGGTTGGCTGAAGGGCTGGGTGACTGGCCCCTGATGTCCTCCTCCTCTCCTTGTTCTCTCATTCCTTCTTCCTCCTTTTCTTCTCCTACTTATTCTCCCTGACTGCCAGCCAACCCCATCCTTTCTCCTGCCTGGCTATTGGACGTTCAGCTCTTTATTAGACTATCAGGTGTTTTAGACAGGCAAAGAATCACAGCTTTACAGAGTTAAACGCAACATAAATGAATGCAACACATCTTTGCATTATTAAAACAAATGTTCTACAGCATAACACACCTTAAAATAATTTTCCACGACAAGTGATACTATCTGCTCTACTGCCTTGCCATCTGACTATGCCCATCACTCACCATCTTGGTTCATGCCAGCTTGTAAGCACTTCTTCAGTCGACAGGCCTGGCACTGGTTGCGATGGGCCTTATCCACTGGGCACATTCCTGCCCCCACCTGGCATCTGCAGAGAACAGGGAGCTCCTGGGGGCAGTGTCATGCCTTTGACTTTGGACATTCGCTTTCCCTGAACAACCTCCACCCGTGCTAGGCACACTGGGGCAGGCCGGGGGAGCTGGTGGCACCTGTAGATGAGCCTCCGTCTCACACTCCTCTTGAAGAAGCCACTGCAGCCATTGCAGGCGTAGATGCCGTAGTGCTTCCCACTGCTGCTGTCCCCACACACTCGGCACTGGAGTGAGGGGCCCACACCTGAGTCGGGAGGCAGGAATTCACTGAGATGCCTGCACATACACCCCCGTTCATCCTTTTCCAAGCCCATAGATTCCCACCTTCCCTAATCGAGATAGTCATGTCATTCCCATCTAGAAAAGCAGTTTCCCCACTATGGCACCCGAGCCCCAGCTTCCAGCTCTTGCCATTTCCACTCCCTTCGTAGCCTATTTCCAGCAAGACAGCCACACTGCCTTGGCTTTCCCAGCCCATTCCCTCCCTGTGGGTGGCTTCAGGCCCTCATGACAAGAGCCATAAGATTTCTGTGTCTCAAGAGCACCCATTTCCTTCCTCAGGGGCGTCATTGTTAGGTCCTGCTCTGATGCCTTTGAGTTTCTAGGACTTTGGGGTTGTCAGCAGCCCCCTTCATGCTTGCTTACAGCCTGGGGGTGGGGACTACATGGCTCAAGCTCCTCTCATGGTCTCCTGAACCTTGTATTCTTGTATCTGCTTGTATTCTCTTCCTCAAGGGCCCAGACCTCACCTCCAGAAGTCATACCTGTTGGGTCCTCTCCAAGGCCCCACCTGCCTGGAGACTCCTTCTTGGAGGCTGTCACAGCCACAGCCACAGCAGAGGCAGCCACTGTAGAGCTCATTGGATATGGCAGGTCCCAAGGGCAGCCTGTTACTTGCCTGCAAGCAGCTGCTGGGCCTAGCTTACGTCTCAGTCTCTACCTCTGTCTACTGTTTGTTTGTCTGTCTGTCCATGCCTGTCTCCTCTGCTTCCCTTTCCTTGTGAGTTAGGAATTTTTTTCCTTCTGGAGCGTTCTCCCTACCTTGGCTCTGGGTCCAGACTTCTCCCAGCACAGCTCTGGGTGAAGGGTATGATCCTCTTAATCTTTACTGTCTCCGAAGGGGATCAACTGGCCACACCTGCAGCATTACCCAGGTGCCCCTGGAAGCTGGTCAGTCCTACTGCCTTCACACTGACTCCCAGGCTGCCTAGCATCCCTGCCCACCCACTGCTGTCCTTACACACCCTGTACAGAACCAAGGGGCCTGGCTGAGACTGCATGCTCTCGACTGTTTGTTATACAATGACAAATCTTATGGGGAGGGCATGTTGTAGATGCCACTCCCCCAAGGACTTTAAATGTTTTTGTGACATTTGCCATGTATTTGAGGCATGTGTGCCCGTGTGGGTCCCTGCCCTGGGTGCTTGCTCACTTTGGGTCCTGGGAAACCCATCCTCTATCCTAATAAAGGACTGCTTGGGGCCTGCCCCCTGGAAGGCTAGCATGGCCAGATGTCTCTTTGATTTGGTGGGGGGTAGGCTGGAGCCAGTGGAGAAATTGGTGGGCATTTTCCCACGGCATTATGAGATCAGACAAGGCTGCCTGGAGCAGGTTCTGAGTGCCCAGGTGGCCTTCACTGCCTCCCCTGGCCTGGACTCCAGTGCTAGGCAGTCAGTCTGTCTGCTGAACCCAGGTCCCTCTTCCCAGCTTAAACCTGGGATGATTTTGTGGAGGGAGTTTGAGTGGGTGTCTGTGCCTCCTGGTGCCAGGGCCCCCACAGGAAGAGAGGTTAGGGCAAGGACAGATCCACCTCCAAGTATGTCTCTGCTCTGTCATGGGCCATGCACCCCCCAGCAAGTGACAGCCTCTGGGAACCTTTTTTTTTTTTTTTTTCCTCCAAATGCCTGTCTTCTGGTGTAGTTGGGAAAATGAAGTTAAATAATTCCCAGAATGTGTTTTGGTGCCTGGTACTAAGAAGGTTGAAGCAGCACCCCAGTAAACATCCTGTCCTGTCCCTGCCAGTCTGTCTTTTGCCATCCTCTCCCCAGGCCTAAGAGGGACAAGGAGTAGCATGGTCTGGAGCGAGAGGAGTCCCATTCTCAGCCGGCCTTGCCTCACAGGGTGGGGTAGGGCAGTTTCTGTCCTGCATTAGCGCCTGGGAGCTTCTAGTGGGATCATGGAGTTAAGTAGACAGAAGGGTGGGGTATGGCCTCCTTAGTGGGGCTAACCCTCACTGTGACAGGGAAGCACTATTGGGGATTTGGAAAGTCAGCTCAGGGGCTTTGTGGGGTGACCCGCCGAGGCTATGAGCCTCTCACCTGTCTTCCCTGTCCTCACTCTGACCCAGAAGCCAGTCAGGAGCCTTCCTAGACAAAGCCGGAAGCTCCACTTAGCAGCCAAGCCAGGGCATCAGAGCCCAGGTCTGTACTGGACACATGTCATCGATTCCCACACCCAAACGTCACTCTATCGAGCCTTCCATCTCCTCCATGGGCAGTCCCAATGACAGACATTCATGGCTTCTGTGACAGCTTCATGCCAGGCTCCTCACCCAAGATCTATGCCCCCATATCCCACTCATCCCCAGCTGACCTGCATAGACATGTAAGTGGGGCCCGAGGACCTGGGGCGGGGCAATCATGCTCGGGGCAGAATGGGTCAGGCTGAGCTGACGGTGTCCAGCTGAGTCAATGTGGAGGGAAATGAAGAACCTGCAGGGGAGGCAGAGATGGTGGGGAGGAGGAGGCAAACATGGCATCTCGGCAGTGAAGTGCTCCGGGAATATGTAACCACCACAGTGTCACACTCACACCTCCCAGGGACCCTACAGAGAAGCTGGCACTATGAGCTTCAACTCAACTCACAGCTGGGAGACAGAGAGGCCCAGAGGGGAGAGGTCATTTGTCCCAAGCCACACAGCTATGGAGCAATAAAGAGGTAGATAAGGAGGTGGGTGTAAGCCAGTGAAGCCCCACCCAAAGTCTTCAGTGAGACACCGGGTGGGCTTGTGCCAGGAGGCAGGCCAGCTAAAGACAGGACCCAGGGCCTGAAGGAGTTCCTGGCCAGCACCGAGCCTGGCACTTCGTTTGCTGAGCTCTGTGCCCTTCTGTTTCTTCAGCTCTGAAGCAGGTGGATGTGCCCTGGGGATGGATGGGAGATAAATGGGATGAAGATGGTTAGTAGGGCAGTGGGAGGAGGCAGGGTGAGGCCAGCGCCAAAGCGTGTTTTTCTTCTCTCAGGTGGCTTTGAGCCTCATTTGGAGCTGATAGTATCGAAGGACTGAGGAAGGGATGAAGTCCTAGGGTGGCCCTAGGGGGTCCTTGGGGAAGGCTTTTGGGCAAATTGAGCCTAGTGGCCTTGACCTACCAGGTGTGTGCTGGGAAAATATGACCACGGGATGTAATGCCTTCCCCATGGGGCATTGCTCTGGTCAGGCCCTGAAGGCAGAGCAAACAGGTAGAGTGGTTAAGGGGGCACCCCTCCTGTTCACCTGCTTCAACCCTACCCTTCCTTCCAGACCTGCTCAGCGTTCCCTCAGCCTACCCATTCTCTATTGCTAGATCTTGTGCAGGGCCAGGCTCTGTCCTTAATGTTGACGCTTACTCTGGATCTACTTCCTCTCCTCTATCCAGATGGAAAGCACCAGAAATGGGGTTAGACTTTAACTTAGCATTTGGTCAGAGGGCATTTGAATAGGTCTGTTTCTGAATTTGTATTCCCCAGACATTCTCACCTTTGGCATGTCCAGCTCTCCCCAGAATTTTGCTGTGCTGTTGAGAATGATGACAAAATAGTGAGGGGTTAGCTGAGTTTGGGGGGGGGGTCCCCCAGCCTGTGACCGCCAGCTGCTGGGGCAGACGCCAAAGGATTACTCAACTCAAAGCCTTGAAACTGCTGACAAAGCCACCAGAGGCCACCTTATTAATGCAATTATTCCTCTGGGGACCAGGTCAGCAATTTCTTCTGATTCCCTAGAGGCCTGGGGTGGGTGGTTAGCATGGTGCAAGCTGCAGTGTTGACCTCCTTAGGGCCTGGACTTGTAAGTCCCTAGTCCCAGTCTGTCTGGGGCCTGACCTGCCAGGGCTCTCTGCCTGGTGAAGGAGGTGGCTCTGGGGCCTGACCTGGCAGGTTGGGATGGCAGCTGCTTCCTGTCAGCTTGGTGACTGGCTTCCATTCCAGCAGCTGCAGGTCTACAGCATGGGGTCCCTGGAGCAGATCTTTTCCCAGGGTTATTTCCTTGGCAGGCTCTCCAGTATTCCATGCTAGCCTCAAGCTCACTATGCATCTGAGGATGACCTTGAAATTTTTTGAACTTTTATTTGGTTCTTTGATAAACAATTTCATACATGTGTAAGAAGCATCTGGTTCTTATATCCCTCCTGAAACCCTACGACTGACTTGCATCATACCCTCCTTCTTCATACAGATTCCCTTCAAACAAAAAACCAACAAACAACTACAAACACCACATTTTGACTTTGAGGGGAGGGGGGCTGTTCATTTGTTTTGTTTTGAGACTCAATGAGTTTAACTGGAAATGTCTGTTTAACCATGGATTGAGCTGGAGGGCTCCTTGGTGATACACAATGGCACCCCTCCCTCAGGATCTATTGGTAGTCAGTATTCAGTGGGGGAGAAAGGCCCCATAAGCTCTTTTCTGATCCATGTTTGACGGCTAACAGGCCCAGTCTTATGTAGGCAGCCATAACTGCTCTCAGGTCAACTGTAAACTTCTGACCCTCTGCCTCCTTAGTGTTGGGATTACAGGGCAAGCCACTCCACCTGGTTTGTGTGTTTCTGGGACTGGTACCCAGGGCTTCATGCATGCCAGGCAAGCACGCTGCCACCTGAGCTACACCCCCAGGTGCCTTCCATCTCTTTGAAGAGCTACAGTTAGTTGAGTGCATGAGCTCTTCAGAGCTAGAGGTCCAATAATTTCACTTTCCAAACCTAACCAACAGCACATTTCCTGAGGATTGAATCCTGCCACAATTTAGTAAAACATCCACCTATGGATGCCGCCTGTGTGGCCCACCCTCCCACAGAACCCCATGCAACCACTCCGAACATCGGGCTCTCCACTTTATATGGGTGGGAATACCTGCTGCTCTCTCAACTTCAAAGCCATTCAAGACAGTGTTTGCCTCTTGATTTCATAGGTCTCAGGAGACTAAAGATTGCAGAATGCTGGGCTCCTTGGCCTGGCCCAGCTGAGTCAATGGTTTCTTTATCTAGCACGGGCAGTGGCCAGGTCAGAACTCGGAGAGGCAGACACTTGTGGACAGACACTAGCAGTTTCTCAACAAAAGCTCTTTATTCTGCTCTCTAGATAACATTTAGAAGTAATCAGATATCCCCTGCACAGCCACCTAGCCCATCAATGGAGAAGTCTTTGCCCTTAGCATTTTAAAGACCTGAGAAGACCTAGAGGGCCCTATCCGGGGCTCCAGCTGCAGGGGACTCTCTCCTTCCCTCATCTGAGATGACAAGCATCTGGATCAATTCCTCCCTCCTGCCAGGCCCTCGGAAGGGTGGGCAACTCTGTTTCCTAGCAGAACAGTGTGTGTGTGTGTGTGTGTGTGTGTGTGTGTGTGTGTGT